GCTGGTTTCCAGCGCTGGATCAGCAGGCACAAGGTCAAGTTCACCAGGGAGTGTGTGCGAAGGCAGCTGGGGTTGTGGAATTCTGTGAGCAGTAGCTCTGCAGCCTGAGACCAATTTCCACATTAGCTTTCTCCATGCAGAGTCCTGGCACTACAGGGAGAGCAGGTATTCTGCTGTACCTCGCACGTGGCACAGGCACACAGCTGGGTCATCTCTGTGCATGGTTGCTTTGTCCCCAGTCCAAAGGCCTGTGTAAAGTTTGGTGACAGGTCAGCTTTCGGCTCCCTTCTCTAAGGAGGTCCTATGTGAGTGTGAATCCCAAGCCACCAGCCTCATCCCAGATCTGATCCCCATCCCTGAGCCACCTGAATGCAACTTTCAGTCCCTTTTTTTTTATTTTTATGGATTTTTGCCATAGGGTGATGGCTCACCAGAGAGAGAGACAGAGAGAAGGAAACTGAGAAATTACCCCCAAGGGGGAATGGCCACACTGCAATCCCTTCTCCATTCTTCTCTTGGGATTTTGGGCACTCATGCACATGTGCCCGGTGTGAGTTTCAAGCTGCTGGGCCTGGGACTCAGAACCATAGCTGGCCATGTGGAAAACCAGTGCCGTAACTATCATACCATCTGCTGGCCCCTCAGCCCCTTCTTTAAGCTATTGGGTGTGGAACTCAGAACCATAGTTGGCCATGTGGGAATCCAGCGCCTTAATCACCACACCACTTGCTGGCCCCTCAGTCCCTTTTGTATGCCTTGGCCTCAGACAGATCTTTTTCTTCATGTTCTACATACGCAGACTGCTTTCACAAAATTGCATGCTATCTTGGCTACCATTTCCAACTGTTTATAGAAAGAAGGCATAGCTCAGTCAATTGTATTATTAAATAAAAGCCTTGTTTTCCAATTGGACTCATTACTTTTATAATCAGAAAACAATAATTGGAAAAAAATGATCTGTTTCTGGTTAAAAACAAATTTACAAATACACACACATAATGTGTGTGCATGTGTGTGGGTGTTTGTTTTCTTTCATGATTGATGAAACACATGACATGCTTCTACCCTGGAAGCAGAGCCTATAGTCTACTTACTGGCTCCATTTTTAAAAAAAAAAATAAAGCACTAAGTCACCAGAAGCAAGCATCCTTATCTAATACATAGACAAAGGAAAAAGCGATCACAAATAGAGAAATCTGCTTGGTATAGCCTGCGTGCTACCTTTTCGCTCCCCCAGCGTCAGGCGAGACAATGATGCAGTTCTTCCACTCCACAATGTTTTCTCGAATCCACTGCAGGACTGCAGGCTCTGCGTACAAATTATCCACAGGAATATCAAAGAAACCCTAAGGGGAGAAGTGAGTGTCACATTGCAGGGCTCTGTGTTTTTAAAAAAGACAACTGGTTTCATTCAAAATAATGGGATTTTTATGAATTAAAAAGAAGCTTTCATAACAGCTTCCCTTTGTTAATTTTAACAGAATTAAATCAAAAGACAGATACGTTGCAGGGGCATACTTTAGTGCTATCTCTCCCTTGGGAGAAGTTCTGAGGACTAGAATGGTTTTGCAGAGTTGTGGGCGTTAGGGCTGCTATTTCTTAAGCACTTAATATAAACCAAAGACTTTCACATTCATTACATAACACAAGTGGGCACTGTATAAAATGGCCTGTTTGAGAGATGAAGAATCTAAATTTGGAAGAGGTTAAGAAATTTATTCAACATGTTACCACTCTGCTGTGGTAATGATTTTCCAGAAGTTGACATGGAATTACATAGGGCCCCCCCCAGCCCAACACTGATGGGAGGGAGGTCAGGGGGTGGTAGAGACAGGTGGCATTAGCATCAGATTATAAGTCCCAAATTCAGTAAGACAAAAATCCAAGAGTGGCCACATATAAACTCGAACCTGAGTAATGTTGCCTCCTTCTCAATCTGTTAACTTAACAGAGAGTTCGGACTTAGCCATCTGCAGAGAGAAAATGCTGGCACCTGTATCTGAGAGGCGTGCAGGTCCATGGTGATGATGTGATCTGCCCCGGCGACTGAGAGCATATTGGCCACGAGCTTCGCAGAAATTGGAGCACGGCTCTAAAAAATAACGACATGGATTTTATACCAGAAAAAGATGAATATTGTTAGATTCTTTCCACTAAGATATATGTGAGAAAGATAAATCGCAGATGGAATCACCAAAGCATAACAGAAAATTATTCCTCATGTTTAAACAACTAAAGACATATTTGGGCCCAGCTGTGGTGGCGTGCTGCAGTGATCCATAGGTTGAGTCACATGACAAGCCCACGTTCGATTCCTGGTCCAACCACTAGTGGCTGGGCATAATGGTGCCCGCCTGTAACCACAGCAACTTGGGGAAGCTGAGGCAGGAGGACTGTGAACTAGAGGCTGGCCTAGACAACAGAACAAGACCCTGGATAAAAAAAGAACTGGGCGCAGTGGCACACACCTTTACTCCCAGCTAGAAGGCTGAGGCAGGAGGATTGAGGCTGCAAGACCTTGAGAGAGAGAGAGAGAGAGAGAGAGAGAGAAAGATTGATTCATTCCATTTTATTCACCAAACACTTTCTATTTACTATACAGCATGTTTGACACCGGCTATAGACAACAGATATCAAAGAAACAGTTAAACACGTGCACACGTAATGTCGCAATGTGTATGATTTGAACCATGATGGGCAAGTGGGTAGAAGTGAAATAAAAGGTACAGAAAGAGATGATAGCCGGAAGGACATAACATTTCAACAAAACGGCTGTTAGAGGTCCCTCTGAGGAAACCCCTTTTAAGGTGAGGCCACAAAGGCACGGAGAACAGCATTCTGGAAGGGCAGTGTGGCACAGGTGATCACTGAGGCCGAGAGACCCTCAGCAGCCAGGGACTAAAAGAAGTTCAGGTAGCAAAGAAGCGTTCATATACTCACAGCTGCAAGCTATTGCTCTTACAAATTCAACAAGAATCCGGTCTCAGACGAGCAATTTAAGGGGACTGATAATTACTATTTAGCAAAATAGATGCATTGTCATTTATTGACACTATGTCCTCTTTAAGTTACCCAACTTCTCTATAGCGTTAGCTCCCACCTCATAAATTATGGACAATAAAACTGTCTCCATCCAAAAAAGAAACAAAACAAAACAAAAAAACAAAAACAGAAAACAAACAAACAACACTAAAAAACTTAAGAAACTTCACTGACACATGATTGGACTGAGGAAGAGCTCAGCATTTGGCTGTAAATGACCGTATTCCTATAAACCAACCACATAAAGGAAACATAAGCTTAAAAGATATTTTATTTAAAATGGTAGATCAACAATCCCATTTAAATGTACACACGGGGGAGGGGGGCAGCAGGTGGTGGCATGGTGGTTAAGGTGCTGGACTCCCACATGGCTGACCATAGTTCAAGCCCTGGACCTGGCAGCTGACTTTCTTACTTTCCCTTTCTATCCTTCTCTCTGTAGTCAAATTAAAAAAAAAATTAAATGTACACACACACACACACAGTATAGTCATGTGAAAACACGAAGGAAGATATTAGATCAAAACATTAACATCTTTGTATTTTCTCTAATGCACCATTCCTTTTTATAAAAATATATTACTTTATAATAAAAATATGTATACACACATGCATACATAGAAATATAAAGAAAACCTCAACATGTCAGCAGTGGATGGTTCTAAAAAATTAGATTATAGGGAAATGTTTTTCTATTTTTTCCGTATTTATTCACTCTTCTCTACTATGTATCCTCATGCATGCTTTCACCATTTAACTCTCCTGCTCTAAGCTCTTTACCTGTGAGATAAAACCGAATTTTCTCAGCTTCAGTATGACTCGTCTGGCTGGAGCCTACTGGGAACTGGTCCTCTGCATGCCTCTGCTCCAGGGATCCTCCCTGCAGTGTGTACTGGACTATTCTCCTTTGTCTAGAGAACACTTTAAGCTTTGCCATGACACCCACAAACCAGTGCTGTCCCCATTTCACTCCCATCTCTGTCAAGCCAGTACATTTGTTACTCTAGACCTGGTTTAAATTTCCCAATTTTAAGGTACTCTGTCAATTCCAGAAATAGTCTCCCTTCTAAAGAGACACAGCACTGGTTAAGGATTTTGCCCCTCCCATTGGGACTGCCTTGTGACACCTGCTGAAAGATCAACATTAGTAGTACTCTATAAACAGATGTCTTAGTTCACAACTCAAGGACAAACATCTGCTTTTGGAGATTTTCACCCCTGTCACACACAGGTCTGTACTTGGCATATGATAGTGCTTAAAAAAAAAATCTTTTTTTCTTTTGTTTCTTTTTCTTTTCTTTTTTTTTTTTTTTTTTTTTTTCAGAGATTTTTTTTTTTGGGGGGGTGTGTTGCCAGACAGACAGAGAGAAACAGAGAGACAGAAAGCGAGAAATCACCCCCCAGGGGGGATGGCCACGCCATAATCCCCTCTCCTTCACTCTCCTCTCGGGATCTTGGGCACACACGCACACACTCCCGGCGTGAACTTAATCCACCAGGTCCGGGACTTGAACCATGGTCGGCTACATGGGAGTCCAGCGACATAGCCATTACACTAATTGCTGGTCCCAAAACAGAATCTTTTTAACACCAAATTTTCAGGGCTCAGTCATTAATCTCACTGATTTTGACAATTATTTAATCTAACCAAGTTTGGGGAAAATAAAAAGAATAAATTGGTCACTACAACTTCTTTTAATAGAATCTGACTTACAATGCTGATCAATTTGAGGCTCTTTTTATAATTTTCTAAGTGGCTGCTAGGGGTTGAATGTGTCTCTTCCAAAAGTGTTGCCAATGTGATGGTATTAAGAGGTGGGGCCTATGAGAGGTGATTAGGCCATAAAGATGCCTCTCTTGCTAATGAGATTAAGACCCTTACATGAGAGGCTTCAGGTAGCAATCTCTCAGTGCCCTTCTGCCTGATGCCATGTGGGGCCACAGCATTGTCCCCACCTAAGGATGCAGCTCTCAGCAGACACCAAATGCCACTGCCTTGCCTTGGACTTCTGGCCTCCAGAACTGAGGCAAAATAAATTTCTGTTCTTTAGGAATTACTCAATCGGTGGTATTTCATTATAGCAACACAAAGACTAAGGCACTGGACAAAAGAATCCTCCATCCTCAACTCTGCTCAGTGGCACCAAATGTTTCTGACTTCTGGGATCTAAAACTACAGTAGCAGCCTCTCAGTTCAGAATTTCCGATTTCCTTCTTCAGACCTTGTCTACAAATTGGGTTTTTGTGCAGTTCAGATACATATCTAACAGAATCTTTCCAAATTAACTGATTTTAATGCCTCTATAGAGAAAAATTAGTGCAGCATTTAAACAAAGGCAGAGTTAAGACACAGTAGTAAAAAATAAAACATTCGACTCCCCTAATGAAAAATGCATAAAGGTCAAATACTTTGTAAGTCAGCCCAGTCATGACAAAGACTCTCAGAATATTATTCCAGACCTTATTCAATGTATCAAATGCCACCTTGCTAAAAGTATATGTGTTTGATAAGCTTTAAAAAATTGCAAGACTGTAGAAATTCATGTCAGGAAACAGTCCTTATGTTCTCAGTTACAAAATAAAAAGAAATAATCTTATCATCGAAAAGAGAACATGGCCTTGAAAAAAAATCATACTGAAAAATGAAAAAAAAAAATCACAAAGCTGCAATCCCAAACCTGCTGTTTTTACCATGGGAGAGAACTAGCAGTTATTGAGCATCCACCTTAGCAGGGCTAGCAAACAATAGCCCATGGGCCAAACCACACTGTTTCTCAAATACTATCAGTCCTTGCCTCTGTGCTGTGGACGACGAAAGTCTTCGCTCTTCCAGCAGCAGTTGTGTTAAGAAAGTCGGAGAACTGTCTGACTAGGGTAAAAAGCTAACAGCAGCTACCATGTTGTTACCAAGGAACACACTCACAGTGAAGTGATCAAAGAGAGGGTGGAAGGAGGAAAAGAAACACGTGTTCAGAGGGCCCCAAAGGGCAAACACATGAAATGTCTGGTGGTAGGAAACCCAAGAAACAGCTGGCCAGACAATGCAGTTCCTCCAAATGTTCCACACACAAGGGTTTTCAGAAATCTGTAGGGTCTTTTTGTTAGCATGGAGGCTGGTGACAGTCCTGCCTATTAGGGGACAGAGGCTGAGGGCTGCCCTCCACCCTATAATGCAAGCAGCAGGGGACAGTCAACGCTACTTTCTCTATATAACAAAGACTTCATTATGAATAAGAAATAAAATTTCAAAATACAACCTTGTAAAAGAGGTTACAAGAAATCAGATACGTGCAAACAGAAACCAGGCATCTCAATATCTGTACCAGTTCAAGAGTTCCTCAGTTACAAATCACTCAAGGGAGAAGGGACTGATAAGGATATAATGTACTGAAGAAGATACAAATATCTAGCACCAAATACAAAATGCAAACCTCCAGGAAGGGAAAAAACCTGGCTGCAAATGCAAATGCAGTTGCTGCGTGGGAACTCACGAAACCTCTTGCCAATGGGAGAGAAACTGTGGCAGGAAATTAGCTCCTTTATGACACTGACAAGGATAAAAATGCTAAACAATCCTGTGGAAACCACACGGATGACAGATGATAGTGATGGGACAAAATTTTCAAAACTGGAATTAGGGCCACAGTCTAGTGGTTAAGGCAGCTGGATCCAACATGGCCAACCACAGTGAGTCCTAGACCTGGTGGCATGCATGCCCCACATCCCCATACGATGGAGAAATGGAGAAGGGATTGCAGTTCTTGCTCTTCTTCCCTTTCTCTAGCAAGCACGTGTACCCTCTGGCAATTGGAAAAAATAAAATACTGAAATCTGACAGCTAAAAATACACATAAAACTTCAGAATCAAAATGAAAAGAAGTGGCACACATAACAGGTGGGAGGACATGGCTTCACAGTGGTATATGTGACCTAAGGTTTTGGTGTGCATGCTGCAAATCCCAACAGGATGGAGAAATGGAGAAGGGCCTGCAGCATGACTGTGCCCCACTGCAGGGTATCTTCTCCCTCTCTCTCCAGATCTCTGTCTCTCTCTGTAGAGCACATGCAACCTGGTGGGAGAAATATAGAGATCGAAATGATGCTGTCATAAGCCAAGGAATGCCAGGAAGCATGAGAAGCTGGAAGAGGCAGGAAGGATTCTCCCTAGAGCCTCTGGAGGGAGCATGGCCCTACTGACCCATCCACATCAGGCTTCTGGCCTCCAGAACTGTGGTCATCTGTTAGGGCAGCGCTAGAAAACCAACACAATCTCCTTTGAAGTTCCCCTCAAACTCTCATTCTCTGATGAATCCTAAGGCAAAAACCAACCATATTTTCTTCTAGAGACTCACCAGTACCTCCCCTCTAATGCTAATGCTGCTAAAAGAATAATTCTGCATATTAACTCTGCTTGTCTTAAAGGGCTAAAAAGAGATAACGGTGGTTTTTATTATTTATTTATTTATCTTTTTAATTAAGCGTTTTATTGTGGGACAACTGTTGGTTTACATGTATTTGTAAGGAACAATACAGAGGTCCTGTGGATTATTTATTCACTGTTTTCCCATGGAAAATTCTTGCAAAATTCCAGCAGTGTCAGAACTAGGACCCTGACACTGTTACCAGTCAGTGATCTGATTTAGATGTCCCCCAGTTTAACTTGTAGTCACTGGGTGTGTGTGTGTGTGTGGTATGTATATCTAGTGCTAGCCACCTCCACAAACTCACACAGTAATCCCATCACAACGAGGCTAATAATTATAGTGTATTATTTGCAAAAAAATACTCTACCTGTTTCTGTATCTGTAAATATTAACAGGGCATGTTCAAAAACAATTCTTTGAAAAAGTCAAGGTGAGGAAACATTATTTACTGGATCATTAAAAGAAAGTCAGGGCCAGCCCCCTAGCTCAGTGGTTAAGTGCTATGCATAGGGAACCAGATTTCACATGGCCAACTATGGTTTGAATCCTGGCCCTGGTGGCTTGAAAAACACGGTGGGTGTATGTATGTGCATGCCCCAAATCCTGACAGGATGGAGAGGGAGGAGAAGGGATTACACATGGCCACTCCCCATTGGGAGGTGCTTTCTCTCTGTCTCCCTCTTTCTCTCTGGTGAGCACACATGCCCTCTAAATGAGAGAGAGAGAGAGAGAGAGAGAGAGAGAGAGAGAGAGAGAAAGAGAGGAAGCCAACATCTTCCAGATACTCGAATTGAGCCATATGTTGGGGGGAAATATCCACAGTGACCCCAAGCAGATGTTTAGGGCAAGATGCACCTCCCCTACCTTGTCCTTTTTATCTTGCCGGGCGTAAGGAAAACATGGGATCACGGCAGTCACCCTGGATGACGAGGCGATCTTGCAGGCATTGATCATGATGAGCAGCTCCATCAGGTTGTCGTTAATTTCCCCACAGCCGCTCTGGATGATGTAGACATCTTCTCCTCGCACACTCTCACCAATCTCGACGCTAGGGAAAGCAAAATGGATCCATTCATATTAAAGTATGTTTGCATCTTAAGGGTCCCCAAGACCGCCCAGTCTGATGATTCATCAGGGCAACTCACAGCATTCATGGCTACGATTTATCACAGTAAAAGGACACATGGCAACAGTAGCAGAGGGAAAAGATGCATAGCCTGAAATCGGGGAAACTGAGCATGAGCTTCCAAGAGCTCTTTCCCAGGGCAGTCATGGAAGGTGAGTTTCACACCTCTAGCAGCAAGCTGTGACCACACAGTGATATGCTTGACCACATGGTGACATGCTGTTCACCAGGGAGGCTCCCAGGGCTTTGCCTGGGGGCTGGTCACATGGGCACTCTGCCTAGTGTGTACTGAAATGCCAGCCTCACAAGCATTCAGCGAACAATATTGTTTATTAGCTGTTAAGAGTTTACACACAATGAGCCATTCTTGTCATGGAATGGCAGGAACCCTTCAGAAATCCAAGTTTAGAGCCTAGCCAAGGCCAACCTTGCAAGCAGGCCTTTTTAAGTCTCAGGCCCGCTATGTTAACTCTTTTCTGCAAAACAGCAAATTTAGTTTTAGTTTTATTATTAAAATTATACATGCATATTGCTTTACAAAGTCAAATCAGCCTTTAAGGGTTATAACACATGAACAGCCCAGAAGCAACCAATTTCAACTCTTCGGTAATTGCCAGAAAGTATGTGTACTCACCAGACAGAGACAGAGAAGGAGAGGGAGAAAACACCGCCCACTAGGGTGTGATCATGCCACAATCCTTTCTCCTCCATTTCTCTATCCTGTTGGGATTTGGGACACAAACACATGCTGTTTTTCAAGGTGCTAAGGGCTGGGATTTGAGTCACCATCAGCCATGTGAGATCTGGTTCCCTTAATCACTAGGCTATGGGGCAGGCCCCAAATTCAAGTCTTGAGAGGATTTTTAGCTATTTACCTTCAAGTTTCTAGCTCATATGTTTGTATTGTGATGTTCTCACTTCTCACTTAAGCGTAGACTTCTCACCATAGAAGATGAGGGTTTAACTGTGTCCTCTTTGTCCCATCATTCATGAGCATTCTTCCCATCTCACTATCTTCCCAATATGGATCCACATTCAAACTAAAATTGACTAATACATTTTAGCAGTGAAACTGCTGTTCAGGGCTGAACCATGACTAGTAAACTTGAATCAATGTTTAAGGCCGACCGCATGGCCTGGCACTTAAGGCAGTGGGATCCCATATGGCCACCTATGGTTTGAATCCCATCCCTGGTGCCCTGAAAAACGCATGGGGCATATGTGCATGTGTGCCTCAGACCCGAGTAGGATGGAGAAGAGATTGCAAGGTGACCATACCCCATGGGGGTGCTTTTCCCCTTTCCCTGGTGAACATACTCACCCTTGGGCAATTAAAAAAAAAATAAACCAATGCTTATATTTTCCTTTTATGCACTTTTTTAAAAAATTGGTTTTCCCTGTAGGTAATTATCTTACCTTTACCGTTTTTATCTGCTAAGCTTTCTAAGGACTGAATCCTGACTCTACCTAACACTTCACTAGCAGTCTCATGTCCCACTTTCAGGGGTCTCAAGTCCTGACCTCTGCACTTTACTGACCTGCCTATTCTCCTCCTGGAGGTAGCTGGTCTGGGCCATCTTTCTGCCTACTCACAGCTGCCATCCGGGGATTCCCTTCACCCCTCTCTTGCACTTGATTTCCTAGTTTCTTATCCTCTTTCTCGGTGTACTTCCTTGTTTTGCTGGTTGGCATTCTCCTTAGCTTCTTGAGAAAGAGTAAATAGGAGCTTAATGTTTGAAAAGCACACATCTGAAAATGTGTATATTTCCAGGTATAGAATTCTGGGCGTTCAACATGAGAGGGAGCCAGCCTACCCATGGCATTGCCTCCCATGGGAGGAAAAGCAAAACAGTGCCGTGTGCTTGAGCAGGTGCTTCATGGAGCACTGAGTAAGAGCCAAGAGCACAATTAACTCTGTTAGAACGCTTGTTCTAAAACTGCAAACTTGGGGCTAACCCTAGAGCCTAGTGGTTAAGGGAGCTGGATCCCACATGGCAACTGCAGTTGGAATCCCAGCCCAGGTAGCTTGAAAAACACATCAGGCATATGTGCACGCGTGCCCCAAATCCCAGTGGGATGTAGAAATGGAGAAGGGATTGTGGTGTGACCATGCCCCATTGGGGGTGCTTTCTCCCTCTCTCTGTTTCTCTCTCTGGTGAGCATGTGTGCCCTCTGGCAACTAAAAATAAATAAATTTAAAAAGCAAATTTGTTCCAATAATTCATATATTTGAAACAATTTGAGCACAACATGCATTTTGCATTGTGCTGATGCCTGGCCTGACCTTGTACCTTGAGATGAGAATGCAGAAAACTGCACTGTGCCCAACTGAACAGAAACACTTAGAAATACACAAACATATGCACGGTTACACTTGGAGAGGACAGTGAGCCACACTTATCCATATCTGGTGTCACAACTTGCCATTTGATTTCAGAGACCCCTCTTCTACCACCTCAAAATAGCTGAAAAGCCACCATCCTTCTGAGGCCCATGGCCATAGCAAACTGCAGGTATTTTTCAAAGGAAAATGCCATACTAAATTGTAGTATTCATGCATTTTTTAAACCTGTAAAAATGTTTATCCTCCTTTACTACTTTCCTATAATTTTTTTGTAAGTCACTGAGGGAAGTATTTCTTTCTTTCTTTAAGAGATCTTTGCTTTGGGGTACGTGTGCTCACCAGAGAGAGAGACAGACAGACAGACATACACAGACAGAGAGAAAGAAAGTAAGAAATCACCCACGGGGGGATGGCCATGCTACAGTCCCTTCTCCATTCTCTTCCTGGGGTCTTTGGCACACGCACATGAGCCTGGCGTGATTTTCAAGCCAGTGGGTCCGGGACTTGAACCACAGATGGCCACGTGGGAGTCAGTGACATAACCGCTACACCATCTGTTAATCCCAGAGGCAAGTTTATTTAAATGTTATACCCCCGGCCCCATTTTTCTCATGAGCCCTCTGGTTTTTGTTGCAGGACTTTGTTCTACATGTTGATTTTTAGGGATTTATGTCACATTAAGGCAGAACTGGCTGTAAATGTATTGATCCAAAAATGAAATATAATGTATCTGATTTAAAAACTATGAATGAGGCACATAGTTACCCTTCTCCCACTGCCAGAAGCCAGTTACACCCAATAAAATGGCTTTATTATAGCCAAGTATATCTAATGTAAATTTAAAAACAAATCAACATTTGGGATACCATGGAGTAATCTGAATCAACAGAAGCTTATATTCAACTTGCAGTAAAATAATTAGAAGACAGAAATGAAGCTTTTCAAGGTGACATGCTCTGCAAATGAGTTCTGATAACATTCGGTGAGGTTCTTGGTGATCTGTTATGGCTGTAAACAGTGCAATGCCAGCCTTGGCACAGAGACAGAAAGAATTCTGTGTGTGCTCCTCTATTCTGAGTCTTCAGGAGCGAAACATAACTCCCTTGGGAACATATCACATCCACTGTGGGTGACCTTCACTGGGAAAGCAAGTATTACATAGTTTAGGAGTTGACAAACTACAGTACACAGCCTGTTTCAGTCTGGACCATGAACTAAGAATGGTGCTGTGGGGGCTGGCAGGTGGCATGGTGGTTAAGGGTGCTAGACTCCCATATGGCCAACTGTGGTTCAAGTCCCAGACATGGCAGCTTGCTTGCTTTCTTACCCCCCTCCCCCAACTCTGTCCCTCTCTGGTTAAATTAAAAATAAACAAATTAAGTTAAATAAAATAATTCTTAAAAGAATGGTGCTGTGGCCAGAACAATGGCTGTCCAAAGATGTCTACATCCTACTCCTCTGACTGTATTCAATGACATGGCAAAGGGGAAGTAAGTTTGCAGATGGAATTAAGGCTGCTAATCAGATATTACCATAGGGAGATTATCCTGGATTATTTAAATTGTCTCAAAGCAATCACTGGGGCCTCAGAAAAGGAAAAGGGAAACAAAAGAACTCAGTGTCAGAGAATGAGACACTTTGTTGTTGGCATTGACATGGATGAAGGGGCCTATAGCCAAGGACTGGGGGCTGCCTCTACAAACTAGAAGAGGGAATGCAATGGATTCTTTCCTCAAGCCTCAGAAGGGAATGCAGCCCTGCCTCCCTACGAAGGACTTCCAGTTTACAGAACTGTAAGACGCAGCAGCAACAGGGACTACATGTGGCCAGCAATGCCTAAGAGATTTATGATCTGGTCCTTTACAGAAAAAGGTTTCCAACTCCCGGTCTTGTGACTGTTTATCCCACAAGACGAAATTCTTTGGCCTGTTTTTCCTCAGGAACTTCAATCCTCGTATGACTAGCAGTCCAGGGGAGGACAAAGAATACCATCACCATGGCAACTTTTTTCCAAAACTAGCCCTGCTTTTATTCATAAAGATGGTCACACCTGATCTTTATTCTCAGTCTTCTAAAACTTGTGGCTATGAGGATGGGGGTAGACAGTGACCTGTTGGTAAAACACAATGCTCTACCAGGCTGACCCACATGGGATGGCTCCAGGTTCACAGCCAGAGACCCAAGTACACCAGGCATGTGTGTGCCCATGATCTGGGGCTGGCTAAAGCTGGGGGTGGGTCACAGTGTTAAGGCCCTGCTGAGGGTGCTTTCTCACTCATGGAAGAAATAGCTAAGATAAAGTTCAAAAAGAAATTGTAGTCAGAAGGCAGCATCCATCTTCCATTTGGTCAGAGGATCTTTACTGACTCCCAAATAAGGTTGAACAGTTGGACAGACTCCACAATGCCTGAGTATGGTAAGTAAAAGCGGGCCACACTTTATAGCACGTTTCCCATCAAGAAGCAAGATCTATGTTCCCTCCTCTTGAATCTGTGGGGTCTCTGCACCTGACCAACAGATTGTAACTGCAGTGATAATGCACCACCCTTAAGCCCAGGCCTTAACGAACCAGTGGCTT